CCCCCGTTCATCTAATGGATGGAGCGGAACTGGATTTGGATGCGGGCAACTACAGCATGAGCATATACTGTGTTACAGGAGTTTCTCTACTTGTAGACTGTTACTAGGCTTACAGCAACTCTCCAGGCTGCAGCCCATGATGCTAGAGATTTATAACAGAGCTAGAGGGAGGTACTAGACACCACCCTCCAAGTTACAGCTTGTTTGGAGCTTAACTGGTTGTATGGGAGTAGTCTGCACAACCTGAGATTTGAATACTGTATGTAGTCTCACATGACAAACAATTTAGTTATATCCTATAAAGTCCTGTATAACAAGTTACTTTTAAGGTAGGGTAACTTGGCTCCATAGCAGTATACACTATGGTCCAAGGTAGAGTAACTCTGGTCCAAAGATAGGGTAATAGTACCCTAAGTCATCCTATAGAGCAGGGTAACTCTACCTGCACTCACTATTGAGCAATTTTAAGTATTTCCCAAATTGACTACTTGGGTTCTCCTATCCAGTAGGGTAACTACCACTTCTTATTAGTCCTTGTGTACTTCTTAGTATGGCATAACATGTCCAACTGAAGTACTTAACCAACATTACCTCTGCTTGGTAGACTTTAGTTTTCCACTATTCCTACTGTGGCTGTTTCCTAATACCAGTATAGGCATATGTTTGGCTAAAGGTAATAGTACTCTGTGGAGTCTCGTTACATCAACAATAGTCTAACCAGCTACTGTCATTACCTCACATTGAATTTCTCATAGTCTGACATCGTTAAGGTATTCTGATAGTGTTTGGTGATTAAATCAGGTTTTTGAGAGCCTGCTACATCGCTTGATTTTCATCATTGCTGCTTTCCAATTCCAACTCAAAGTATAGCACTCAAAACCCATCTCTGGACTCTAGTTCCTGTTACTATTGCTCGGTTTCTGGCATGCTCCATGTCTAGCACGTGGTGATGTAGTTAAGTATTAGTGGTAGAGTATTGTTTAGCATATTAGCTTTTCACTACTCATTAACTATATCCATAGCATCCTCCAGTTCTTCTAGTAGTTCTCATCTATTCTTACTTATAGGATATCCTTTCCATTTAACTAGCAACAGATTATCTCCATGATAAAGGTGGTAGTCTTAGATTTCTTCAACCTCCCATTCTTCCTTTTTATCAATATTCATGGGAGCAGGATGTGAGTGGATTCCTTCAGGAAACATAGAGTCATTATTAGAATCTAATTGCTTGACAGTGAAGACCTAGAATACGGCAGTATTGTGGCAATACATCTGTCTATCTATCTGGACAGTATGACTCTCAGTATGCTCATCAAAGAATAAGACTTGGAAGGGCCCTCACCATTGGTGTTGCAGTGTTTTGCTGCATCCAACATTGATGAGAAACATGTTTCCATAGACTATTAGCACAGCATGTGGTAGAACAGAAACATGCTTGTATTGTCACTTCTGGGCAGTTGTTATACTTCCGAATAGTGTAGGTTGAACAGCCTGGAAGATATTATTATAGATATTTTAATGGTAGTTTAAGTAGTTATCTGAGGAGAGAATAGTAGAGTTTTTGAGAAAAGTTGTAGGTAGGAGAGGTTATTGCCGGCCAAAATTGCCTTGTATGGGGACATACTAAGAGTACTTACAACTTGAGCATTGATGTAGGCAGCAAGCTCTACAAGAGCAGATTCCCAATTTACTTGTTGCTTATTGATTATGTTTTAAATTTCAGTCTTGACTTCATACACTTTTCATTCTGTATGGCCCCTAGTTTTGTGATATCCTCAAGCAGCCATGATGTGATTGATTCTAAAAGAGGGCAAGGTCTGCTTACAGAACCTAGATGTGAAACGGGTGTCAACATCACTGACAATAGACAAGGAGGATTTGTGGGAGGTAAATAGGTATCATCAGAGGTTGTTCCAGGTGTCTTTGCATGAGTTGGTAATCTTTATTGATATAAGCTATGTATATCCAGAGAAAGGATCTACAGCTACCAATTGGTATCATAATTAGCCGATTTGATGAATGGTTCACCAAAGTTGATAGCAAAGGATTCAGAAACTTCACAAAGCAACTGGAGGGTCTGGGCGTTTCTTTCTGACAGTTGAGTTCTTTGCTTATTCACTTGGCATAGCTCATATTGTTAGATGAAATCTCTGAAGACTTTATTCGTTTCAGGACAGGAAATAAATTCAGAGACATAATGGAGGTTTCGGTCTACACTGTGATATTCTTTGTTGTGGATCTTGGTAATAACATATTCTCTGATGGTCATACCATCGAATATGTGGCCTTTCAGGATATATAGGCTAAACTCACTATAGCGAGTACATCTGTAAGTCATTCCATTAGATATGTTGTATGGGACATGGTCACCATCTTTGGTGCTGTCCATAGCTTTGAAATAGACTCAGTCATGGTGGTATTCTGCTATGATTTGACTACAGAAGGATGAGGTTAATTTATCCAGGGTTGATCTGACATCTTGGTTATCCTTAATAAGAGATTCTCTTGTTTGCTTAATAAGTTCCTGTTCTTTATAGGTTTCATAAAATTGTTGGTGCTGTTCAGGTATTGTTGGTGATATGACAGAGACAATAATTTCATTATTGTATACTCGTAAGAATTTGCCAAATAGTAGACATAAATCTATTGGAGGAGGTGAGGATGGCAGAGCTGGCTGCGGAGTGTTGTTAGGAAGAGACAATCTGATAGATATCAGAATTGTCTATGCCAACC